ATGCCCCTGTATCTCGGTAATTACCAATTGCAAAAAAAAAAAAAAAAAAAAAAAAAAAGGGGGGGGGGGGGGGGCTTAAAACATTATTTAGCAAATTAATCCTAACATTTTGGCAAGAATTTGTTTTTTTTTTTTCAAATATTTTGCAACATAGGAAGACAGTTTCAGAATTGGGCTTGTGACAGTGAAAGGGTTAATCATTCCAGTAACAGAATGAAAGAGACTTAAGCCCATAGCATCCAAGTCCTAAAATTCAAAGGCTGTATTAGCAAACTATTCTAAGCTAATAAGGAAAACTGTAAACAGAGAAAAGGACATTAATGAGAATATACTTAGGTCATTTTTATATAACTGAACAGTTATAGTTTCTGACTGTGCTGAAGAAGAAATCAAATGAAGATCAGAAACGGACAGAGGAAAATCACATTACCAAAATAACTGCGTGTACAAAGAATTGCAGTATTCAAAACCATATAGCGGGATACAGAGGAGTTGAAAAATAACACTGGTCAACAACCAAAATGTTTCCAAGACCAGAGTAGCAATTTTCAACTAATTTTAGGTCATTGATAATGAATATCATGGTTAAAATTGTTTGTTAGCTCTACTTTTCAATATACACTTGTGTTACACAGGCTCCAACAGGCTTGCAGCAGTGTGTTTCTTACCACGCTCACAGTCTCATTGCCTCTCATTATTGTTTCAGCACTCATAGGTGGTGGATGTGCTGTGAAAGTTTATATTTTGAGGTGAAATGTAGGTAATTTTATTAGCCAAACACTTCTTTAAACTTGTAATAATCACTGAGCAAGCTATTGATATGCATGTGAGGCATATTAATTTTATTTTCCTACTGAATGATATAAATACTTCTGCTTAGCTGTCATGCTGTGTATTATAATGATAAATTAATGAATAAATTTTTTGTTTATCTTCTAACTGTTTGTTGTTTTCTTCTTTCAGATGCCTCGTACTTGTGTGAATAGGGGAGACAACTTCTGATACATTTGTGGTGAGGTGACGTTTACATAACAGAAGCACCGTATAACTGCTATGGCTAGAAAGGCATATCACCTATATTTTGGATGCAAGATTAGTGACCAGGATAAGAACTGGGCTCCACCCATATGCTGCAACAATTGTACTACTAACCTTCCCCAATGGTTGAACAGGAAGAGGAAAGCAATGCCTTTTGCTGTGCCAATGACATGGCGAGAGCCAACAGACCATACCAAAAATTTTTATTTCTACATGTTACCTCCAGAACAAAAGGGCTTGTCAAAGAAAAAAAAAAAAGGGGGTCCATCGAATATCCAAACATTCCATCAGCTATTCGCCCAGTTCCACATGGAAAAGGTCGACCTGTTCCTGATGCACCAACTTCAGTATCCTTCGAGTCAGATGAAGAAAGTGGTGAGGAGGAAGAAGAGAAAGATGACAGTGCTGGATTACAGTGACCGAAACTTTGATGAAGCTCACTCCTCAAGGCCATATCTTGTAACAAAAGGGGAAACTCCATGACTTTGTCAGGGATCTGCAACTACTCAAAAATAAGGCAGAGTTGCTAGGCTCTCATCTTCAACAGTGAAACCTCACAGCAGCTTATGTGAAGATTTCAAAATTTCATTACCTTCCTCAACAGTTCAACGATTTCTTTGTAATGGAAGGTGATTTAGTGGCCTGCAACAATATTAATTGTCTGATTGAAGCACTTGGCATCGACTACGAACCCAGCCACTGGAGGCTGTTCTTACATTCATCAGAAATGAGTCTGAAAGGTGTCTTGCTGCATAACAGCAATAGTAGACTATTAATTCCTGTAGGCTATGCACCACATATGAAAGAAACTTGTGAGAATATAAAGCATATGTTGCAATGCATGAAATATGAACATCAATGGCACCTCTATGGTGACTTAACGCTTTCAGGGCCACCAGGCCCTCTCCGAGACTTGTTCTCAGGGTCGCCAAATTTAAAAAAAAATTATTTTTTCTTATGAAAAGATAGAGAATCTTTTCCCGATCATAATGACACCAAAATTATGAAATTTGATGGAAAACTTACAGAATTATGCTCACGGGAAGTTAGCGGTCTCGACAATGCTTATGCATCGGCGATTTTGCCTACTTTGAGCCCTATTTTCTGCCAATTCCAGTGTACTAGTCGACAAAAATCATTACTATTTCGCTAGAACTCCATTTTTTCTATCGAATGAGTACAAGAAACCACCCATTTACCGGTTTTAACTATCCAATAAAGTGGTCAGATTTTAGCAATTTTGCCAATTTCACACAAATTTCAAAAGATACCAATTTCCGAATAGGGTCCAGAATAAACAAGAAAGACATTCCTGGCACTAAAGTAACATTTCCTCTGTTCATTAGTCACGTCCCAACGCCCCTCTTACATTCTTTTGCTTTCCGCTTTGAATTTTTATTCTCACAAAAAATAGAAGATTTACTGTTATGCAGACTACTGCATTAGTGTAGAAATGGTATAAATAATATCAGCGCACTTGTGAAAGAATATTAGACTTGCCAGTTGATGTGTATTGGAAGCATACCATGATTTGTTTACTTTTGAACTTTGGTAAAAATCGAACATTTCGGCTCAATTTCAAGGTACTTTTCATTGTAAAACCAGTCAAAATCATCTCAATTTCTGTAATATGTATTCCATTCTATAAAATGAGACCAGGAAAACTAGAATACAACAATAAATACCATACAAAAATACAGTGCAAAGTCGCTGTTTTAATCCAAAAACAGTTTTTTTTTCCTCATCACGCACTGTGTGCTGCAGGATTTTTTTTATACTGCGTACACTGACCACATAGACCCATTCTTTCATACATAGGCCTACAAGCTTTCTCTCACTAGATTTGAAGGAGCTAGAATTTAGGCGTAGTAGTACGTCAAAAACCCTGGTGCATAAGCCGTACTAGTAATTCCGAAACCCTGAAAAGGTTAAAGGCTGTTACTCTTGTGATGGGCTTGCAGGATGGATACATCAAGTACTGCTGCTTTCTATGTGAATGGGATCCATGCAAGAGGTTCCCACTATATCAAGAGAGACTGGCCACCTTGTCAATCACTAGAGCCTGAGATGAAAAATGTTCACCATCCACCTCTCATTGAACCAAACAAAATTTTGTTACCACCACTACACAAATTGGGGCTCATAAAAAACTTGGTAAAAGCTATAGGCACATCCAGTCAGGGATACAAGTATTGAACATCAAAATTCCCCTCACTGAGCGACGCTATGATAAGAGAGGGAGTCTTCAATGGTCCTCAAATTCGAGAGCTTCTTAAAGATGGTGATTTTGAATCAGACCTTCATGGGGAGGAGAAAGCCGTTTCGGAAATTGGCGGTTTCTTGTACTCAATTGATAGAACAAACGGAGTTCTAGCGAAATAGCTACGAGTCTGGTCGATTGGAACAAAGAAACTGGCCGAAAATAGGGCTCAGTGGGTGAAATCCCTGATGTACATATATCGCCGAGACCGCTAACTTCGCGAGAGCGTAAGTTTATAAGCCTTCCATCAAATTTCATACTTTTGGTGTCATTACCATAGGGAAAAAGATTCTCCGTCATTTCATAAGAATTTTTTTTTTTTTTTTTTTTTACACAATTCTTTGACACAGAGCAAGTTTGTGAGCAGGGGTCTCGACAGTGAAATGTTTAACACTTTCAGGGTTTCCAACGTACTAGTACAGCTTATGCACCAGGGTTATTGACGTACTAGTACGCGTAAATTCTAGCGCCTTCAAATCTAGCGAGAGAAAGCTGGTAGGCCTACATATGAAAGAATGGTAACGAGAAAAAAAAATGACCGTGTTTTTGGTGTAAAACAGTGACTTTACAGTGTATTTTCGTATGCTATTCACGTTGTATTCTAGTTTTCCTGGTCTCATTTTATAGAATGAAAGACATACTACAGAAACTGAGATGATTTTGATTGGTTTCACAATGAAAAGTACCTTGAAATTGAGCTCAAAGTAGCAGAAATGCTCGATTTTTGTCAAATTCTGAAAGTAAACAAATCGTGCCACACGTCCAATACATGTCAACTGGCGAGTCTAATATTCTTTCACAAGTGCGCTGATATTATTTACACCATTTCCACACTAATGCAGTAGTCTACATAACAGTAAATCTTCTATTTTTTGTGAGAATAAAAATTCAAAGTGGAAAGCAAAAATGTAAGAGGGGCCTGGGGACATGACTAATGAACAGAGGAAATGTTATTTTAGTGCCAGGAATGTCTGTCTTGTTTATTCTGGACCCTATTTGGAAACTGGCATCTTTTGAAATTTGTGAAATTTGCAAAATTGCTAATTTCTGACCACTTTACTGGATATTTAAAATCGGTAAATGAGTGGTTTCTTGTACTCATTCCGGAGAAAAAAAAACAGTTCTAGCGAAATAGTTATAACTTTTGTCGACTAGTACATTGGAATTGGTCGAAAATAGGGCTCAAAGTGGGCGAAATCGCTGATGCGTAAACATCGTTGAGACCGCTAACTTCCCGAGAGCATAATTCTGTCAGTTTTCCATCAAATTTCATATTTTTGGTGTCATTATGATCGGGAAAAGATTCTCTATCTATTCATAAGAAAAAAAAAATCCGAAAAATTTCCGACCCAGAGAACAAGTTTAGGAAAGGGCGTCTCGACCCTGAAAGGGTTAAGGTAAGTAATGAATGTACTATGTATGTATTTTACTTTTTGTTGCTTTTTAATACCTAGCTCTACTGTTAACTTAATATATATTACTGTAAACTTGTCAACTGGCATTTATATGCATTTATAAGTGGAAAAAAAAATGGTATTCTGCTTTATAGTCATTTCTGCTTTATGGTGGTAGCCTGGAACCTAACCTGGTTAATAAGTGGGGCCCTACTGTATGGTAAACAAAAAAAACGGAATGCTATAAATAGTGCATTACTGTGCATTATTAAAATTTATGAAAAACTTGTGCTGAATCATTGTCTTAC